GTGTCGATATAGGTTTTTAATGTCATCAGTCCATATTCTCCTAGGTTTTACCTCTAGCTTTCAGATAAGATCATTTTATCTGTAGCCTGTGTTGGTAGTGGGGAGTCGCCGTGGCGTAGCGGCTCGGAAGGTTGTGGTTTTGCTTCCTGGTGGAGTCGTACTATTTTCAAAAATGACCTTGACTCCCAGGTCGACCCAGCCTTGAGTGCAGTCCCAGGAAGTAAAGGCAGCCGGCATAATGCTGACCACTCACCCATCTTGTGCCGATTGGTCGATAAAAATATAGGTCCAGCCCTATATGCCTAAAGGGGTAGAAAAGGGACCCTTACTTTTTTTAAACCTGTGTTGGTGGCTATTTTAGATGCAATCTAACCAGATGACCAAACCATCTGATTTTCTGTTTCTCAAGGAATCTAGTGCATGGTACAGTTGTCTGATATTATCTTCTTCTTTATGTTCACCAGCTGTACACTCCGGCGGACAGTTTTGGGCGTTCGTCCACCTCCAGGCTTTAATCTTGTTCTAGAACCTGATGGTTGCGTGCATATCAGTTTCACATATCTGGCTTATTTGAATGTAGACTCTTGGTTCCTAGCCTCTCAGGCAGACGTACTCTTGACTTTAAAGGATGCTTCCAATAAGGCGACTCTTTTAACATTCTTGTTAGAGAGGCAGTGGATCTATTCTTGTTTTTTCCACACAATAGAGCCCCGGAATCCACAAGGGGATCTGACGGTATCATTTCTCACTTTGTCTCAGATGGTTAAGTTGGTGGGATCTGATAGTATCATTTCTCACTTTGTCTCAGATGGTTAAGTTGGTGGGATCTGATAGTATCATTTCTCACTTTGCCTCAGATGGTTAAGTTGGTGGGATCTGATAGTATCATTTATCACTTTGTCTCAGATGGTTAAGTTGGTGGCTTTCTGCAGCCATCCCATTTTCCCTGGTGAAAGTCTACAGTGCATATATTCATTTCTTTTAGCCTAAATGTTAGACATTCATTACTATGGGGGCAGAAGTAGAACAGCTTTCAGGTCAATCCAGTCCTAAATTGGTACTAGGAAATGTTATGAGAAGTAAAGGCAGCAGACATTGTGCTGACCACACCACCCATCTAGGGTCGATTTGGCTATAAAAACATGAGTTTGGCAACACATGTTCAATGTGTCAATGCCATGAGACCAATACTAGTTTAGCAACACATGTTCAATGTGTCAATGCCATGAGACCAATACTAGTTTAGCAACACATGTTCAATGTGTCAATGCCATGAGACCAATACTAGTTTAGCAACACATGTTCAATGTGTCAATGCCATGAGACCAATACTAGTTTAGCAACACATGTTCAATGTGTCAATGCCATGAGACCAATACTAGTTTAGCAACACATGTTCAATGCCATGAGACCAATACTAGTTTAGCAACACATGTTCAATGTGTCAATGCCATGAGACCAATACTAGTTTAGCAACACATGTTCAATGTGTCAATGCCATGAGACCAATACTAGTTTAGCAACACATGTTCAATGTGTCAATGCCATGAGACCAATACTAGTTTAGCAACACATGTTCAATGTGTCAATGCCATGAGACCAATACTAGTTTAGCAACACATGTTCAATGCCATGAGACCAATACTAGTTTAGCAACACATGTTCAATGTGTCAATGCCATGAGACCAATACTAGTTTAGCAACACATGTTCAATGTGTCAATGCCATGAGACCAATACTAGTTTAGCAACACATGTTCAATGCCATGAGACCAATACTAGTTTAGCAACACATGTTCAATGTGTCAATGCCATGAGACCAATACTAGTTTAGCAACACATGTTCAATGCCATGAGACCAATACTAGTTTAGCAACACATGTTCAATGCCATGAGACCAATACTAGTTTAGCAACACATGTTCAATGTGTCAATGCCATGAGACCAATACTAGTTTAGCAACACATGTTCAATGTGTCAATGCCATGAGACCAATACTAGTTTAGCAACACATGTTCAATGTGTCAATGCCATGAGACCAATACTAGTTTAGCAACACATGTTCAATGCCATGAGACCAATACTAGTTTAGCAACACATGTTCAATGTGTCAATGCCATGAGACCAATACTAGTTTAGCAACACATGTTCAATGCCATGAGACCAATACTAGTTTAGCAACACATGTTCAATGTGTCAATGCCATGAGACCAATACTAGTTTAGCAACACATGTTCAATGTGTCAATGCCATGAGACCAATACTAGTTTAGCAACACATGTTTAATGTGTCAATGCCATGAGACCAATACTAGTTTAGCAACACATGTTCAATGTGTCAATGCCATGAGACCAATACTAGTTTAGCTACACATGTTCAATGTGTCAATGCCATGAGACCAATACTGATTATTAACTTATTGTGACAGCTTAGGGTTAGTTTATGGTGTTTTCATGGGACAATCAACAAGACCCATGAAAGAAAAATAGAAGCCTGTGAAATGAAATGTCTAAGAAAAGCAGCGAATAAGACCAGACTAGACAGGATAAGGAATATAGACATTAGAAACACTGTCAAAACTACACCATGTTTAGACTACATAGAACATCAAAGAATGAAATGGTTTGGACATCTAACCAGGATGAAAAATGATCAAATAACCATCACAAATTTCAACCAAAGAAGCTCAGGATATAGGGCAAGAGGAAGACCAAGGAAACGGTGGATTGACGGGGTCTCCGAAACCTGCCAAAAGCATGGCCTCAGAACATCAGATGCTGCCCGCCTTGCTTATGACAGGAACTTGCATCTCCCCACAACGCTTAGCGGCATACGCGGAAGGAAAAAGTAAAGTAAGTATGTAGTTTTCCCTGTATTGCTTTTCACATCACTTTACCTGTAACATATCAAATAATTATATTACACTTGAAAAAAAATAGTGCATAAACATAAAGTACAACAGCTTCAATCTACTGAATGTGCATTCTCTATGGAGCATTGATTTTAGCAAAACCGTAAATTTAGCAACAATTTTGAACATATTATGCATACATCAGTTTGAACAATGAACTTTACCTTACAAAGGATCTATAAGGTTTTTACAAACTTATTTCGCAGCTGTGTGCAGTCGCATACAGTCGTCCCCATGTAGGATGCAATTTTTCGTTATCTGAAGCCCTGAATATAGCTGGGCCACAATTGTGGCCGTAAGGGCTGAAAGGGATTTCTGGGACTTCTACACTGGTGAGCCTCATCCGCATGGTGGCACTTTGTGTCACCCGGTGTTTATCACTCTGGGTGATGTCCTGGTGGGGTAAATTTACTTACTACTCACTTTGGCAGCTGTATGTTTAATGGCTACTAAATTTATAGCTGTTGACTTTTGCAAAGAGAGGGAAGTTAAAAAAAATGAAAGAAGAGCATTTTCAGTTGACATACGATAAAGGAAATGGGAGGTAATACAGTAGCCTTTTAGATTCGAAGCAACCCCTGAAACGACCCAACAACATCCTTACATGAAAGAAATCATGGTCATTATCATGTAGCAAGTCCTTTGCTGAACGTCGCTCTCATCACTGTCTGCCTGAAAGAAACTCGATCTCTCCCCAGCTCTTCCACCTTGTGTTAAAGACATCACTTATATCTTGTGCCCATCTTCGTGAAAGAAATAGACCATTGTAATTTGACTGTGGAACCGTACACAACAGACTTCACAGCCATAAGTACAAGAAATTCTAGACTGGGACTGCAAAACTGTGACCATGTGGGGAAGTACTCTAGAGTATCGAACGTGTACTCTACAAGCAGCAGAGAGATCCCATCACGCCAGCCACATTTTCTTCCCAGAATGTTTCCTGGCACCTGTTTTAGGTTGGGTTAATCTAGGAGGAGAGGTATTACACCATGCTTACTACATTTTTATGGGATTGTTGCTAGAGCAAGTGATGGAGTTTGTGCTTCGTATGATGCTCTCGGCAGGCAGCCAACCAATCTATGAAGAGAGACTGCTAAATAGAACAATACCTGATGCAATGAAGTCAATTCACTCAACTTTAGTCTTCTCAAAATGATCTTGTTACATGATGACACATGAATACTAGCATCCACGTGTGATATGACTGGCTCTATGTCATAGTCAATAAAAAACATGAGTTTAGCATCATATGCCCGATGAGACTAATAGGCAGCCAGGATGATGTTGATCACATCCTGGACTGAGTGCTGATTCATCTACTGTAGTCTAGCCCCATGGGCCAGTGGCATAAATAGGGGCCTTTGGTAAATTTACTATGGAACTCTGGGTGATAAAAGGACAGAAAAGAAGAGATCTCTAACATGTGATACAAGTGCCAATCCAAACTGTCATTACTGCCACCTGTATTCACCACTTTTGTGGTGTAAGTGGGTGTGGTGGGTAAGGAGGGGAGGAAGGGAGGGAGGGGAGGGATGGAGGGAGGGAGAGGGGTTTGAACCTGAGGATTTAGGGCTTCCTGGATCAAGCTCTCCATTTTGATTCTGTGACTCTCTTGTGTGGAAAATAAGAATGGACCCACTGTCTCCCCCACAAGCATGTCATAGCAGCTGACTAATTCAGGGCATCCGTCGAAGTGGGAGTATATCTGCCTGACAGACAAGGAACCAAGAGTCTGCATACAATGGCAAAAGAGCCATAAATGTTAAACGGATATGCAGACAACACTCAAGTTCTGGAACAAGACTAAAGTCCGGAGGTGGACAAACACTTTCCGCCAGAGTTTACAGCCGGTGAACGTAAAGAGGATGAAGAAGAAGAAGACTAGTGCTATGGCCATGAACTGTGAAGGTTAGGATTCACCTTTGCCACTATCAACATCTACAAATTAGTCCTCCATTTCACTAGTGGTCATCAAATTACTCCAAAACTCTTCAATTATTTGAGGGAGATCATATTCAAACATTCAGTATTTATCCCAAACATTCTAGAACTGGCATCAGATTAGAACATGATCCTGAATTAGAATTTTACATCTTTGCACCCGCGTGAGGCCATATGTATGTGCCTGTATAGTTGAACCCATGTCTGTTGCAAAGCTCATCGCTTTCTTTGGGACCTCGGCTGAAAATAGATAAAATTTGATATATAGTATCCACTGTAGCAGAAGTGAACATCCATATAGCAGTGTATACTGACCAAAGCCCAAATCATAGGTTAGTTGCGTATCCTTTACAGGACATTGCAGAACCAACCCCAACAACCCCTAGCTGTTGTGTAATTTTTTCTAGGCAAAGTTATGTCCACTAGTTTGCCATTGCTTTCCGGACAGTTGGCTTTCTTGATACCACTGTCGAAACCAACGCATGGGCCGCAGCTGGAATCGAACCCGGCATTACAAAGTGTTCGCATCGACTTAGCCACAGAGCTGACCAAATCACAGGAGGCCTCAACGAAATAAAAAAGTTAAAAAACTGAAGGACAATACAGGATTGCATTCAAATTAATTGAAAACTGAGGGCAACAGAAAATATCTTGTGTAGTGTAACAGAAGAATAAACTGTATAATATTTAATACTAAATGTATACAGACATAACGGGCTGAATTGCAGTAAACTGACAACCAGTCATTGAGGACTGACATACCTAAGTTTCATTATAACGATGTACCCAATGTCGGACAGTGCCAAAATCACCTACAGCAAAGTTATGTCCACTAGTTTGCCATTGCTTTCCGGACAGTTGGCTTTCTTGATACCACTGTCGAAACCAACGCATGGGCCGCAGCTGGAATCGAACCCGGCATTACAAAGTGTTCGCATCGACTTAGCCACAGAGCTGACCAAATCACAGGAGGCCTCAACGAAATAAAAAAGTTAAAAAACTGAAGGACAATTCAGGATTGCATTCAAATTAATTGAAAACTGAGGGCAACAGAAAATATCTTGTGTAGTGTAACAGAAGAATAAACTGTATAATATTTAATACTAAATGTATACAGACATAACGGGCTGAATTGCAGTAAACTGACAACCAGTCATTGAGGACTGACATACCTAAGTTTCATTATAACGATGTACCCAATGTCGGACAGTGCCAAAATCACCTACAGTAACAAGAGGTGCTCAAACTGGTTACCATTTGCATCCCGACAACTAGCAGACTTACTGTTTAATTAACATTAGCCAGAGAATCTAATACGCCCCTGGAGGTGGGGGAAGTTTTGGAGGTTTCAAGAAATTTTGAAATCGAGTTAATTAGTATTTGTCATAATAAGTTATATATTATTTCTTCAGTTAAAAAAATTAATAAAATACTTTTTAAAACTATTTTAAAAATAAAAAGCCAAAGACATTTTTGTTTTGTTTGCATAAGCAGTTATTATATCTACAGTTAAAAAACATGACAACACATGCAAATTTAAAGATTTAGAACACATTCTGACCAAAACGTATCTCAAAACTGTCTCATCTGTTGCGGACACTACTGTCCTCCTCTTTTTAATTAATCACATTTTGTTATGTTTGGGGCTGGGGCCTTGTCATATACTCAGTGGGGAGGGGGGTTCTAGCAATATACTCAAGAGGGGGAGGGGCTGAGGGTCTTGCTGTTTACTCCGGGGGTGGGGGAGTCTTGCTATACACTGAAGGCACGACCTGAAAAAGGTTGGAAACTACTGATCTAGTGGAACAAACTGTTGTGCACATTTCAATCTATTTCAAAGGGTCCTTAGTAAGGCTACTTTACTATTCGTGAGTGAACCGTGTAAAATATACACTGCTATTGAAAATTGGTCCAACTTTTGAAAAATGTTTACAGGTGACACCTGGCAGGTTCTGTATGTTGTCAGTAAACATTAGTTGCACCTCCTTTATAGAACATTCCAGAACCAACACCAGCTTATTTGGCTCCTTGGCTTTAACAAGCAGTTTTATGCCTAGTAGTTTGCCACTGCTTCCTGAATTCTGAGCACTCAATACCAATGTCAAAATCCATGCAAAGCGGTCTGCTGCCAAGTCACCAGCAGCTGGAATCAAACCAGATATTTCAGATTTATGTAGCACATCCACAACGCCTAAGCTAAAGATGCCAACATCGTGAATAAAACAGCCAGAAATTGCAGTATATGTTCAACAGTCACAACAAGGCAGTATTTACAATCTTCATCCTTTACAGTTGAAATAATTTTTCTTCTTCTTCGTGTTCACGGGCTGTAAACTCCGGCAGAAAGTTATGATTGTTCCTCCACTTCTGTACTTTAGTCCGGTTCCAGAACTTTAGCTTTGCATGCACTTCTGTTTTATAGATCTTACTTATTTTATGCAGACTGTTGGTTCCTCCCCTCTCAGGCAAATGCACTTCTGCTTCAAAGAGGACATCCCTAAGTTGCCTACTCTTACAGCATGCTACAGTGGGGGTGCTGACCCCCTTACACAATGGGGTGCCGGACCCCATATAGGTTCATATTTCTGTCATATTTTATGTTCAGTTTAGCTTTGCTGTGATTATATTTTTACATTCAAGGTCTTCCCCGTGAGGGGTCCGAGGCCCCATGTGGGGGAAAACAAGAATAGACCCCTGCCTTCCTCAACAAGCATGTCGTAAGAGTCGACTAACTGGGATCTCCCTTCGAAGTCAGAGTGTATCTGCCCAAGAGACGAGAAACCAACAGTCTGCATACACATCGGTCAGATCTGTAAAATGGATGTGCACATAATCTATCAGGTTCTGGTACCAGACTAAAGTTCAGAGGTGGATGAAGATCCAGAGCTTTCGGCCGGAGTTTACATCCAGTGATCGCAAAGAAGATCCAAGGTCTATACTATTTCTGTTCCTTTAACTCCAATGAAGTTTAGTATGTATTCGCTGTGCTGATATCCAGTGTTTAGTGTGTTTACAGCGTGTCTTTGCTGCGCTCATAATAACTAAAGACAAGGACACCTTTGACGCCTTGGGCACATCCGGTATAGTGTACTAGAGCAGTGGTTCTCAACCTTCCTAATGCTGCGACCCTCATGTTATGATGACCCCCAAACATACACTTATTTTCCTTGCTACTTCATAACTTCAGTGAATATGTTTTTTTTTCCCTGATGGTCTTAAGTGATATCTTTGAAAGGGTTGTTCGACCTCCAAAGAGGTCAGGGCCCACAGGTTGAGAACCGCTGTACTAGACATACATACCAATTGGCATTTATTGGGCGATGTGATCAACATCACGTCAGTCACCTATACTTTCAAGGACATTAGCTGGTACCCATTTTAGGGTGAGCCAACCTGCAACCAATGACACCATTTAAAAAAAAAAATCTGGCTCAATGGGGGACTCGAACCCTAGACCTTCAGACCAGCAGGTAAGTGTACAGGGGCTGCCGTGCCATGCTGTTCTATGATTTCACTATTTTATTTCTAATATTAACAATTATCTAAGTATGTCTTTGCTATGCTAATTCTAGATTACAATTACCAGACTAAAAAGGAACCCCAGTTTTTCAACTGCCTGTAGCTATCACTTTTTAAGAAGGGTAAAGGATGAAGACAGATCTTGCCACTTATGATTTAGTGTTGCATGGTTAGTCTAGTTAACAAGATCTGTGCAAGTTTTGAATGTTTATTAATGCCCTCGACAGACACACACAAAAAAAAACTTCCATCAACATGCTGATGATTCAAACCCAGGTCCCCCACATAAGCTGAGCATTTTAAGCACTTAGATAGCTTCTCTACCATACTAATTATTTAATACTAATTATTTATGTGGCAATAATTCTTGCAGATTTTTTGTCTTGTTTGTGCTGCTTATATTGTTGATGTTTTTATTTAAGACGAATTTAATAAGAGCTGCGGCAGCGTCCATGGCTTAGGCGTTGCAAGTCCGACTCGTAATTCCAACGTACCGCAATCAAAACCCACTGCTGGCTGCGTGGATTTTTATCATGATATGGGACGTCGCAGGTCGACCCAGCCTAAATTGGGTACCAGGATGTATGTCCTGGGAAAGTAAAGACAGCCGGCGTAATGCTGACCACATTATCCACCGAGTGCCGACTGGTCTGTAAAAATATGAGTGCTCTTCCAATATGCCTAAAGGCGTGAAAAGGGATCTTTACTTACTTTACTCAATAAGAGCTTCATATCTGACATATGAAAGGAGACATTCAATCCCTCAAGTGGGTGAAGCTTCTGGAATGGGCAATTTCCCTTCCAAACTTGCTGGAATCACAAGGTATTGTCCCTAAATTGAAGAAGTTATGGTTTAAAAAAAAAAAAAAAATCTTTTTTGATTCATAGCTTTTCTGAAGTTTGTTACTTTGCTGAAATTGTTTTCTCAAATTCATTACTATACCAAAGAAGGGAGTATAAATGGATATAGCACTATTTGTGTTGTGGCTCATTTAAAAATCCCTTGATGACTGAAAATTCTCAAGTCTTATTTCATCGTCGGCTCTGTGGCTAAGGCTAAGTCCATGCGAACGCTTCGTAATGCCGGTTTCGATCCCAGCTGCGGGCAAAGCGCCTTGCGTTGGTTTTGACAGTGGTATCAAAGATGCCGACCATTCAGGAAGCAATGGCAAACTACTGGACGTAAATTTGCCTAGAAAAACCACACAACAGCCAGGGGTTGGTTCTGCAATGTCCTGTAAAGGATACGCAACTAACTTTTATTTCATCTATTGTTTTATCTAACTATGAAATGTAACAAGACAGCTTGGTTGTCATTTCAGAACGGATTTAAGACAAGAAATTATAAAAAGTAAGCAAAGGACCTTTTCCAACAATTTCATGTGTATTGGGCACATAGGGCTAGATCTATATTCTACAGACCAATTAGCACTGTCAGCATCACAGCAATCACCTTTATTTTCCATGGCTGCACCTCGTACCTTCTCAAGGCTGACCTGCCAATCTCGCAGGCAAACATCTAGCCGCTACACCATGGTGACTCCCAAGACAAGAAATCGATGGATATATCTGTCATATCTACGGATGGATATATCTGGCATACATACGGATGGATATATCTGTCATACCTACGGATGAATATTTCTCTCATGCCTATGGACGGATATATCTGTCACACATATGGATGAATATATCTCTCATGCCTATAGATGGATATATGT